TCAGTTGGCCATAATTTTCTCTTTCCTGAAAGCTGAAACACAGGTAAGAGGAGGAGTTAATATAGATTTTTCCCTCAGGCTATCCAGATGGCATCTCCTGTCTCTAGTTCCTAAAACTCTGGCAACCTTTCAAGTGCTACATGCAATTCAGATTTGACATAAACCTTGGTTTCTGATCTAGGACAAGAATGACGGGGCTGCCTCGTCTTCTGCTGCTCTTCTTTCTCCTGCCTCCAAATTCTGCTGAGAGTATGCAAGCCGGATGTGTGTTGACAAACCCTTACCAGATGCAGGAAGACTATTACAGGCCTGGTGATTTCATTATCGGTGGGAATTTGTTCATGAATACCATTATTTCCTCCAGCATCCTAGACTTTACAAAGGACCCCTACTGGATTCCAGTTAATATTTTGTATGTGTCATCAGGAAAGATTCCCACAACACTGTCAAACTATTTACTAAGGCTGCATTACTATTCTTCTTCTCATCCTTCCTATAACCTATCTCCTTTTCTTCTTATGACTATAATTGTATTGCTTGTATCTTTAGGATTTATATTGTTTTACTTAATTTCCTAGTGTGATTTTTGTTGATTGCTTATTTAGTTTCCTATGGCTATTACTAAGTGCTGTATCTTATGATTCATGATGAATGTATTTATGATGACTATGATCATGATTTATCAGATATCTTTGACATACACTGAGAGCTTATGCACCGAAGACCAATTCTTTTTGTGTCCAATCACACTTTGTCGATAAAAAAATCTATTCTGTTCTGTTCTGTTCTGTTCTGTTCTGTTCTATTCTATTCTATTCTATTCTATTCTATTCTATTCTATTCCATTCCATTCTATTCCATTCTATTCCATTCCATTCCAATATTGCTTTGTTTTGGATTCAGGGACTCAGAAATGCTTGTTCTAGTTATGTTTGGAATGCCCTAATGTAATTCAAATATTTGTGCTTTTCTCAATAAAGAGAAAAACAGTAATTTTTTTCCAGAACCCATCCAGAAGATGATAAACATTACAAAACAGGGAGGGAAAATATATTAGAAAATGTGCCTAGTGAAGAAGGTGACATAAGATTAATCTGGACAGAAAGTCATGGTGGAAAACTCCAAGAAAATTTATAGGATATTTCTCTGTAAATTTAATATTATTATAGTATGAAGTACTGTAAAAGAAGCCCTTAGTTTGGGAATCAGGAGTGCTCCTGATTAATGGCCTTTAGTAAAATTATGCTAAGATTCTTTCCCTTGCCCCCCTCCCCCAGAAATATTTTGCTCAGTAATGGTTTTCAGATGTGAAGAAGCTGCTCCAAGAGGGAAACACAGAACATAGAACAATAGAGATGAAAAGGACTTTGGTGGTAATGGTTGACCTAAAGACACAGCTTGTAATGGGCCGCCCATTGAACCTGTTTTTTTTCTTTCTTTCTGATGTGTTCTATTTTCTCCAACCATCAACAAAGGGCTTTTTGGGGGGACTCTTAATTATCTAATTATCACATCAATTTGCCTTCACGGCATGATAACATTTCCTTTTTGTCAGGTTTGCTTCCTAGTAACTAGTTACTAGTTCCTAGTTTGTCCAGTCTCTTTTTGAAAGCCTTCATTGTTGGAGCACCCACAAGGCAAGCTGTTCCATTGGGTGATTACTCTCATCATTAGGCCATTTCTCTGTAACCACATCGGTTAGAGTGGAAAAGGAGCANTGGATTACTGACTGCCAGGCATTGATGACTGTCTGTGAAGGCTCCTGGATTAGGGCTGAAAGGTGAAAGCAGAAGCAGTATGCTCCGTCCCATATTTGGATAGACCAGGTTGCCCTGATAGACTGGTCTCACTGGAAAAACAATCCCCCTGGTACAGTCAACAAAGTGAGGAGAGCCTGTGGCCTAGAGGTTAATACATCTGCCTAATATGCAAGCAGCTCGGGTTCCAATCCTAGAAGTGTATGGATAGCTGATGAAAGCTAAACAGTTTGAAATAGCTATAAGAGTCTCACTTTATTTCCTTGTCAGTAAATTTAAATGTAACACAAAAATAGTTTGTCGCAGAAGCAACTGCCTGTGAAGGTTCCTGGATTGGGGATGAAAGGCAAAAGCAGAAGCAATATGCTCTGTTCCATATTTGGGTAGACCAGGTTTCCCTGATAGACTGGTCTCACTGGAAAAACACTTACTCTCCCCCCTGGTACAGCCGAAAATGTGAGGAGAACTCATGGCCTAGAAGTTAATACATATCCCTAATATGCAAGTGGCCCGGGTTTGAATCCTAGACTCAGCTAGCTGATGAGACCTAAACAGCTTGAAATATCTATACTAGTCTCCCCTTATTTCTTTGTCAATAAATTTAAATTTAACACTATCTCAGAGAGTTTTCAGGAATTATTTCTTTGTAGAATTTCCTCGTTTGAGACATCGTCCTGATACGTGATACAAACAAATTATGGCACAGGGTAAACTCCACCTTCTTTGCACAGGTTCAGTTTCATGTGGGTCAAAACACTTAATTTCATTTTAACTCTCAAGTCCATCTGCTCTATGGATTAAAAGAGACATCAACATGTTTTTCCTATTCTGGTTTGTAAAAAAACCCCACTATTGCTGGTTACTTCTCCTTGCAATTATCAGAAGAACATCAATTAATGTATCCCCCATGGATTTCTACCCACAAGGGTCTTCCAAGATAAAACCTGATTTCAATAATATGCATGATATTTGCAAGACCACGTCACTTTACCTGGTCTTGCCAAGAGAGAACTCCTGGACTTGGTGAGACTCAGTTGGCCATAATTTTCTCTTTCTTGAAAGTTGAAACACAGGTAAGAGGAAGAGTTAATATAGATTTGTCCCTCACGCTATCCAGATGGCATCTCCTGTCTCTAGTTCCTAAAACTCTGGCAACCTTTCAAGTGCTACATGCAATTCAGATTTGACATAAACCTTGGTTTCTGATCTANAGAGTCATTTACTGAGATGTGTACCTATAGAAATTGGTCAAATGAATAAACAAATTGGGGTTTAATATTCAAAACATGTTTTATAAGAGTAGCAGGTTTGTCTATAGATGTACATTGAATCATTATTAAATTACTCCCAACATATAAACCACTCAGGTTTTTTTTTTTATCTTTAAGGGCAAATCCTCCTACATGTTGAGCTTGCTGCCATTAAATACCAATGAATAACCAGACCTAATATGGTGTGGAAATCACAGATAATGTGCCAGATCTGTATAAGATATTTGGGTATTCATGTGAACACCCAAAAATGCCAATTCCTACCAGCAGTTGAAAATTGTACACTAATAAAAGATCTTGTCTCTGTACAAACTTCCCTCTCTTTATCAAAGGGATAGTATTGGTTGTGTGGAAATGATGTCTTTTAATGCTTTCCAGCATATTCTTCAAGAGGCCATTGTGCATTTTGACCCTTAACTTCATTTCATGCAATACCAATTGTCCATAACTACACTCAAAAAAAGTTCAAGAGAGTGTGGAAAGGCTGCCAACTCACTGATTGTTCCTGAAAGTATTTCTAATGATCACATAGAGGTAGTAGACTACAGATATGTGTCAGCTCCGGCCAGCCCAGAGGCCTGAAGCTGCCATTCAGGGGAGAAAACTGGTTCAGGTGCCAAGATTCATGCTTACCAGATGGAGATTTCCCTCCTCCACAAGCAGTCCAGCTGAGAAATCTGCAAAGCTCTTGATAACTGTCTGAGAAAAATCCATGATTAATTGCCGGGTGGTTTTCGCTCTGGGTCACAAAGTGATGGGTGTGCGCAAGAGCAGGGTTGGAATTTAACCTAATTGCGAAGTAACTATAAAAGGTGGGGGGAGCACCAGGCGGCAGCTCTGACAATTTATTCATTGCCTTAGTGCTTTGTTGGTCAGTTCATGCTGTAGCAAGATAAACTGCATTTTCAAACTATATAAATATATATATTTGATGTAATATATATAACTTGATATGAATCATAGGTGATGACTGTGGAAGGGATGCACGAAAGTTCTTTGTAACCAATTGACACACTTTCTACAATTTGTAAGGGAAGATGATTTTAAGGTGTTTGTTTGTGTTTATTACATTATATATATATAGATGATAGATAGATAGATAGATAGATAGATATAGATAGATAGATAGATAGATAGATAT